AACAATTCAAATGCAATGTCAATCGTTACATTTGTTTTAATTCTTAAATCTGCACGGTTCCAACTATGGTAAAATAGTGATCCCCCCCCAAAAAAAAATAAAAGTAAAAAAATATTTTTTTATAGTCGATAAACCAGCAATAGAGATTTATATATATATAAAAATTGCTAACAATACCTATTTATAGTAGAATGTCCAACAATACATTTTTATAGTAAAATGACCAACAATACATTTTTATAGTAAAATGACCAACAATACATTTTATAACAAAATGATCAATACATTTTATAGTAAAATGACCAACAATACATATTTATAGTAGAATGACCAATATATGTTTATAGAATAATGACCAACAATACATACTTATAGTAAAATGACCAACAATACATATTTATAGTAGAATGACTAACAATACATTTTTATAGTAAAATGACCAACAATACATATTTATAATAAAATGACCAACAATACATTTTTATAGTAAAATGACCAACAATACATATTTATAATAAAATGACCAACAATACATTTTTATATTAAAATGACCAACAATAGATATTTATAGTAGAATGCCCAACAATACATTTTATACAAAAATAACCAACTATACATTTTTTAATCTGTAGTGGAAGCTATATGATTGGGTTAAAATATTTTGATTTCGGCATTAAATAACCCATAGATGCATTGATATGCCGCTAAACAAAATCACAAAATCAATGACTTATGAAATATGATTTAAAATTTTTTAAAAATCTAGAAAATATTAGAAAACCCTAAACTGAAAGCAGTAAATGGTTATAACTCAAGGCATGGTTGGTTTAATATGGATAATTTATTTTCCTTCATTCTTTAATTTTTTATATTATCTAAAGTGGGGGCATGATTGGTTTGTTTATTTCTCCAGAGAAAATTGATACAAAAACAAACAAAAAATGTTAGGTAAACAAAAAAGTATTTTATTTCAGTTTTTTAATCACATTATTCTTAGTTCAATGATGATATAACCTTATAGTTTAATACAGTGGAGAGTTCGTCATCCTGTCTGGCTCTTGAAAATGTTTCTTAAATCAGCTTGTTTAAGCTTAAAAAAAAAAAGTGGCATGTTCAGATTTTGTGCTTAATACAGTCAGTTCATGTTCTGATAATATCTGCAGTGCCCATGATAAAGCTATAACTGCAATTAAAAGAATAGTTTCTTTCAATTATTATCAGTTTTTTTCTTTGCTTCATCATTTTTTTAGATGGGGTAGCATGATTTACAAGATATTGATAAGCCAGGATTTTTCTCCCTTGTATTATGATTTAGTGTACTACTTTTTCTTGAAACACTCCCTAAAAGTCCCAGAAATTAAGCCTAAAGGTAAGTCTAACCAGGGTTTTATATGTGTGGTTATCTCTGCATTCCACTGTGTACAATTCAGAGAATTAGTTGTGCATTTTAAATAAAAGTTTCTTTGGTATAAGAATCAACCAGATTTTGTGAGATTTAAAGCGACAAGTTGAAATGACAAAGGCTGGAAATAGAAATTCTGAAGTATTCTAAAAACACATTATCAAAATTAAAATAAAAATTCAGAAAACAAAAAAAACATGTTTTTGCTTCAAGAAAAACAATTTCAGGAAACTTTAACAAAGCGCTGTACAAAGAAATTCTTACGGCCAACAAAGAACATGGCAGACCAAGTGTAATTTTTGACACCCAATGGCGTAAACATCTCTGCCACGATTCGCAATTTCAGCAGTCAGCCTTTGCTCCAGAACTGCGGCCGACGATCAGATGAAAAATACAACCCCCAAAGTCTATCAGACCAACGCAGTCTGACACTCTTTCTAGTTTACATAAATGATATGCCTAAGAGTATAATCCAATCTTTTGTGAATATATAAGATAATAATACGACGCTATGTGGGTGCAGCTTCCAAAATCGAGTGAACTAGAGTCTGGAAGTTTATCTCTTTTAACCTAGCTGTAACGGTACAGAAGGATCAAAATGGCTGGCCACACTTAATGCCTCGAGAACGAAACTAGTGACGTTCCATCATAATCAAGCGGATGCTGAATTTTTGCCTATCGCGATGAAGTGGTGTTCTGTCAGGGAGACCTTGTGCCTTGAACACCCACTGAGACTTGAGCTCGACTAAGATCAATTGGAATTCGTACATACGATCCATCGCTAAAGACAGGAAAAATAGTCAGTTCCCTGTACCAGTCCTGTAAGTACCTGGCCCCTCCTGCTATTTTCTAATTTTTCAAGCTCCAGATCAGACCGAAAATACAGTACGGCGGCCATATATGGACAAGAGCTGCTGGGTCTTCATTTTCCAGTTTTGTTTGTGGGTGATAAATTATTTCTCACCTACAGACGAAACGTGGCAAGTTTCTCTCTATTCTATCGCTGTTTCCATGGAAAGTGTCCCGACGAACTATATTCTTTACTTCCACCAGTTCTAACGTTCGCGGCAAAGACCCTACATGTCACGCCTATTGTAGCCAGCCACCCTTCGTATCCCATTGGTTAGATGCAAGCTTCAGTCGAACAATTTCTTCCCACCAACCGCTGATTTGTAGAAGCGATTCCCAAGCGGATGGTTCCCCGGTCACTACAATCTTAACTAGTTCAAGTCTAGGGTTCATCACCATCCGAGAATTCTTCTCGGATTCTCCTGAATCATTCCTTCCAACCATTTCTGTCAGACATCGCTGTCGACAGGTCTTTCAGATGACATTCAGTCATCTACAAGTTGGTCAATGTAGGTGTGAGGAGGTCTTTCAACCGATCTTTAGCCGCGTAATGGGTTCCATAAGAGGGCGTCACTCACAATTTCTGACTTACTTCTCCAGGAATGACCAGTTAGCCAAAGCCTTCTCTTCTCGGATTCTCCTGATTCGTTCCTTCCAACCATCTCTGTCAGACATCGCCGTCGGCAGGTCCTTCAGATGGCATCCAGAGTTATCTACAAGTTGGTCAATGTAGGTGTGATGAGGTCTTTCAACCGATTTTTAACCGCGCAATGGGTTCCATAGGAGGGCGTCACTCACAAATTCTGACTTACTTCTCCAGGAGTGACCAGCTAGCTAAGGCCTTCTCGCTCTTAGCGAGAGGAGGAAGGTGTCCATACAGGGGTTTCATTGATGGGTGTTTCTTCCAGCTGATGTCCAGTGCAACTCGTAACATCCTTGTGTATATTCCGTCAAGTGATGCTTCTTGGGGTTTCGTCAGTGTCCATGTTGTTGAGCCGTAGAGCAAGACAGATTTTACTGTGGCCTTAAAGAAGTTCCTCTTCAGATTGTCAGAGCGGTGCTTTGAAAGATTCAAATGACAGTCTTGAGTTAATCGTTATCTTTTTCACTTATCCCTATAAACTGTTCCTTTTACCTCTTACTCTGTAACTTTCTACTTCGAGTGGCTCTTGGGACTTGTACGGGTTAAACATTATTGTCACTTGAGGACAAATGGCACAGTGGATAAAGGTGTTGGTTAGATCCAGTTACAGGACCTAAAATGTGTGAGTTCAATACCCGGTTAAGGCAGTGGAGATATTGGAGAGGGGAATTAACAGGAGATAACTGGTAACTGACATTCATTAAACATGGCTCGTAGAACTAGAACAGTCTATCCCAGTGAGCGAAATAAAGGGCTCAGTTCGACATTCCAACCACCTGAAGAAGGCCGGAGCATACAACGGCCGAAACGTTGTAATAAATATAGCGACAAAGATGAGGACAATAGTCCGAATAATGTAAATAGTGTACCAAATCCTATTGTTCAGAGAAAAAAAAGTCCGAATGACCCGAAACATAAAGAAACATATAATGATGATAATCATTAAATACTTATTTTATTTTACGTTCCATTAAAGCATATAATGGATGTGCGTTTGGCGTGACCGTTTGACGATTATCAGCGCTGAAATTGGGAGTGGCCTGTCGTGTTCCCATTTCCAACCAAGGCCGTTGCGTCCGCTTTTCGTACTAGTATCTTTGACAGGTTTGAAATTTATCACTTCTCCCTCGAGATAGGTGTCAATAGTAGGGTAGTTGTAGCTCTCTAGCTTTGTCTGGCAACCAACATTGGAAAAGGACAAATTTGAATCTCACACCAGATAGGCATAAAAAAAACCTCCCTACAGAAACCACAACAAAGACTTCTAACGCAGTGAAGCTGTGGTTCAGGTTGGTGAACAGGGAATTTAACGCGTTACCATCCTAATTATAATTTTCAGCCACACCTAGCGTTGTAAGGGTATTGCCTTTATTCAACAGGGTTAACACACTATTTTGAAGCAGCACTTAGGCTGTGGCTCAGCTCGAGGAGGCTTAAACTTCACATGAGATTTTACAAGGTAACATACTATCTATATTTTTCAGCAACACCTTGTGTGGTGAGGCTGTGTCTAAATATGGTGGGGATGTTGCCATATATTGTACAGGGTTAACATACAACAAGAAAACATCTAAAACCAATAATTCCTTATCTAAAAAAATCTTAGAGATGTGAGTCCAAGTTTAAATAAATTCTCTTTCATTGTTGATCTTCGCTATATTATCGTACGCTTCATATATATTTACAAACAACCTCTTCTCCAATCAAGGTCATTTATTGACCCCCTACTACTACTACTACTACTACTACTACTACTACACCCATCCGTTTTAAAATACTCCAAATTTTGATTAGTTCACATTTTTGCATGTTTATGTCGTTCCGAATGACAAGTGACAAGCTTCTCCAGTTGTCACACTGTTGATTAGATGTTAGACCAAGGGGTAGGAGGTTTGAGTTGGATAAGGCGAAAAGGAAACAGTAAAAAAAAACCAAAATTGGTGGGGGGAGTGATGGGTACAGTGGGCGTTTGCTGGGAGCGTTAGGTGGGGGTGCTTACAACAACCAGCCGCCAACCTTGTCACTACACAATATGTATTTACCCATTACGGCCTTCCGGCTATTCTGTCGCACCCCCGGACATGCAGGTCCGGCCCCGCTACAAAG